CCATACTCTTGGGATTACAACACTTCTAGTGGAAAGAAAACTCCAACTCTTGATATTTAGGATTCTGCCCATCCCTGAAGCTGTCCCTGGGACTGCTGCTGTTGTTGCCAAAGTATTATTTAGACACTGGAGTAAATGAGAAGAAAAAAAAAAAAACAAAAAACCGAGCCAGCCAGATGGCTCAGCGGGTAAAAGTGCTTCCCACACAAACCTGCGACCTGAGGTCAATCCTCAGAACTCACAGAAAGGAAAGAACCTATCCACTCCCCAAAGTTGTCGTGACTTCCACACAAAGATCATGTCCCTATACTCATGTGCACACATTTGATAAAAAAAAAAAAATATTTAATTCAATAAAAAGGAACAATAAGGGCTGGAGAGATGATGACTCAGAGATTAAGAGCACTGGCTGTTCTTCTGCTCTTCCAGAGGTCCTGAGTCCAATTCCCAGCAACCATACATACGGTGGCTCACAACTAATGAGATCTTCTGGCATGCAGGTGTGCATGCAGACAGAATATTGTACACATAATAATGCTGACATAAATCTTTTTTTAAAAAAAGAAAGAAAAGACTGAAGCAAGGCTGACACTTCTGCTGCCTCTGATACTCAGAAGATTCTGTCCAACTAGGACGGCCCTCAGCTTCTCTCCTTGCTCGAGTGCCTACTGCGATCTTCTGTGCTCTAAGCAACAGGGAGCTGAGGCATCTGCTGAACAGTAAGATGTGCACGTGTGTGGCAGCACAAGCTAACTTAAGATATGCGTATGTGTGACAGCACATGTCTTTAGCCTCAGCACTTGGGAGATGAAGACAGGAGGAACAAGAATCTATGCCCAGCCTAAGCTGTGAGTCTGAGACCAGCCTGGACCACACGAGACACTATCACCAAAGGGGAGAAAAGCTATGTACACACAAAAGATGGAAAAACACAAAACAGGGCAAACACTGACCAGGAAGCCAGACATTAGAGAGCACTGAATCATCCCTGAGCTGCTCAAGGTTTCTCCTCAGATCCCACAGAGTCCTGTAGGACGTCATCTGGTCTTGCAGCTATTTATGATGGACTGAGCTCTGGTGATTAGATATGCTACATGAAAGAACCAACTTCACACAGGGAGATTATCTTCCTAGAGCATGGCCTATTTGGTAGTTCTTTAAAGGGATTCTATGGCTGGAATGATTCAGCGGCCCAAGCTCAGTTCCTAAGACCTAAAAGGGGGCAACTCATAACCATCTCTTCCTTGGACAACTACATTAACATGGCATATACACATTCAAGCATGTACCTGCAAACACACACACACAATAAGTGCTGGCTACGGTGGCACATGCCACCAGAACTGGGGAGGTAGATCTCTGTAAGCTAAGACTACCCTGGTCTACACAGGGACCAGCCAAAGCTACACAGTGAAACCCTGTCTCAAAACCAAACAAACAAAAGTAAGAAAGGTTGGGGCAGCTGGGTATAGCTGCACATGCCTATAATCCCAGCACTCAGGAGGCAGAGGCAGGCAGATCTCTGTGAGTTTGAGGCCAGCCTGGTCTACAAAGGGAGTCCAGGAAAGCCAGAGCAGTTATACAGAGAAACCCTGTCTCAAAAAACCAGATAGACAGACAAGAAAGAAAGGTTGGGGTGAGGGAGCACTCTGTAGGTACTTTTCTGAAAGACAAAAATTACCAAAATGGGCACAAAAGAAATAAAAAGCTTTACCACTTACATAGCCCTGGGAAAACTAATTTTTTTAACTTGTGACAATTCATATTTGCACTCTGCATTGTGAACAGGCAATTAAATGTTAAAATCTTTATATTACATTTATTTCTGCATTTATTTTGTACACGTGCCTTTTCATCTGTTCAAACACAGAGCACAGAATCATCATTAGCTGATTTGTGCACACTGCTCATCCATACATGTGTTAATGCAGAAATGTATCTACAATATTTGCTTTAAAAGTTTGTGTGTTTTCAGAGCAAAAAGAGCAGACACAACACCTGGCTGACGGCTTCCAGGATAAGCTTGACCAGACCATGGCTTCTATCAAGCACAGTCTCGAGTTGCTCCACTAACAGCTCACCTCCCTAGTGGGGGCTGTTCTACAAAACTGGAGAGCTCTGGACTTACTAACTGCTGAACAGGAAGAGACTTGCCTTGTGTTGGGGCAGGAATACAGCTTCTATGTCAATGAATCTGGGCTAGTGGAACAAAGCATGCAAATGCTCTAAGATCCCTGGCACGTTCTCCTGGCATGCTATGCACCCCAAACCCCTACCCCATGATACGAAAGCCCTCTGGTAACTTGGCTTCTTCCCCTCCTTGACACTGTACTGGCCACTGGGGCCCTACTTCTCCTAGCACCCTGCCTCATCCAATTTCTAAACCATCAGATAAGTAGCATGACAAAAATCACCGCCAACCAGGTTCTGGTTCAGTGCCAAACAATTCCCCACATAGAGGCTGATGACTGTGATGATACCTACCCTTTATAAAACAAAAAAGGGGAGATGTGGGGCCAGTGAGCCATGCGACCAGGGGAGCTGGCCCAGAGCAAGAATGAGGTTGAGACATGTCCAAACCCCAGAACTCTCATGAGACTGGCAGGAGTAAGGAATGCTTCCCCCCTGCTCTGCATGTCCCAGTGCACGCTGCCTCGTGACCCCCACCTCTGCCATCCTTGATGTACCCTGGTGGCCAGGTTACAGGTTAAACTTCCTCTCTTTTTATCATGACATGTCCAGAAAGCATCTGGAATTCCTCCTCATGAAAATGAAACATTCCCTGCACCTCAGCCCCAGCCAATTATGTATGCTCACCCTACCCACTCCCCAAGGTTTACTTAGCCCTGTCCACCCCAGCACCCCAAATGAAGAGAGCGGTTTCACTGGAAACTGCCCCTAGAGAAGGTTGTTTCTCTGCTTCCTGTGCCCACCAACTCATCAGTGTGTGTGAGGAGGGGATACTTAACCTGTGCAAGGCCCAGCAGAGTTAAAGAACAACCAATACCAAGACAAAACAACTGATAAATTATCTTTGGAAGTCACATGATAGCCTACAAAAGTGAGGGATGAGGATGCAGCCCCAGCTTTACTGGTGAAAGTACCACACATGCATAATATAAAATATACATTATGCCCCAAAGGATCAGAGGCAGATTTGACTATATAAACTCTGCCCACATTACGTTTCCAGGGTCTAGTATAACCCTGCCTGGTTTAAATTCGTGATCCTCCTGCCTCCACCTCCTAAGCACTGGGGTTACAGACTCACAACACCATGCTTGATTTCTGCTTTTAAGAACAAACTCTACTGAACACTTACTACTCCACAGGAATGTCTAAGATATATTCAAAAGAGAGTAAAACAAACTACTGAATGCTTGATCATTAGTGACACTCAACAGATAAAAGAAATAAATACATCCCAAACATTCTTGCTGCCCATTCTATGTTTTTATGTGTCAGTTTAAACACAAAGGATAATTTTGAGGCTTGTGAATTAGATCTTCTGATGGCAAGAAGACCACAGGGTGGGGTGGGGGGCTGGAGAGATGGCTCAGTGGTTAAGAGCACTGTCTGCTCTTCCAGAGGTCCTGAGTTCAATTCCCAGAAGCCACATGGTACCTCACTATTTATAATAAGATCTGGTGTAGTACATGCCAGAAGAGGGCATGCCAACAGAGCCCTCATATATATTAAATAAATATTTTTTTTTCTTTTGGAAAAAAATAGAGCACAAGGAAAGATGAACATCTTTGTTTTTTCATCCTTTGTTGGAAAAGTCATGATATGCTTTTTACAAACGTTTTACTTCTCAGAGGTCAGAGAATATATAGGATAATCTAGAGGTGGAGTTACAGATGGTTGTAAGCTGCTATGTGGGTGCTGGGTACTGAAGCTGGGTCCTCTGCAAGCACAGAAGGTGCTCTTTGACATCGAGTCATCTCTCCGATCCTGTGATATACTTTTTAAGTTGGAGAAACAATACAGGCAGGAAGTGGTGGCATGTGCCTGTAATCCTAGGGCTTGGCAGGCAGGAGGCAGATCAGGAGTCCCAAGGTCATCTCTGCTACGGAGGGAGTGTGAGGCCCGTCTGAACTACAGGACAGCCTGTCTTTAAAAACAAAAAGGAAAAGAAGAAAAAAAGAAAGAAAGAGAAGAGGCCAGACATAGTGGTACATGCCTTCAATCACTCAGGAGGCAGAGGCAGGAGACCTCTGTGAGTTGGAGACCAGCCTGGTCTAGGGAGCAAGTTCTAGCAGGATAACTAGGTAGCCAGGACTACATAAATAAACTGTCTCAATTAAAAAATGAGAGAGAGAGAGAGAGAGAAGAGAGAAAGAAAAAAGTAATAAATATTTTAAATTAGAAGACAGATACCATTAAAACAGAAAACAGGCAAACTACAAGCTCGCTAGAAATACACAGTTTAAAAAGAAAGATTGAGCTGAGAATGAGAACAAGACAAAAGCCCTTATTGTAATACCAGCGTTCAAACAATATTTTTAAGCTGTACACATTTAAACTTTACTTCTAACATAACACAGCAAATGCTTACTACATCCAATAAATTATAGCAGGGTCATTAATCAGCACACATACACTTCTTTATGCCAAGTTCCTGACCTAAAACCAGAATTTCTTCTATGATATATACTAAGAAAATAATGTCAGGTTTTCCAATAAATCTCTAACTATTCAAATAGTTCTTTAAACTTAAAATGCTGTCAGGTACAGTAGTTAATGTCTCTGATCCAGCACTTAGTAGGTGAAGGCAGGAGGATCAGGAGTTCAAGATCAGCTTCAGCAACACAGCTAGCTTGAGGCGATGATAGACTGTATGAGCTCTGTCTCAAAAAAACAAGAGAGAAAGAATGCTCAATAGTTCAACAGTTTTATAACAAGCTGCCACACTTTATCTTTCGTACGTGATGGATAGGAATGATACCACACAGAGCTCATGAATTATCAAGATCATTCGACTCTTCACAAGTACTCACTTTTACGGATTCTTCTGTGTTAAGCTTATTTCCTTTCACCAAGACAATTTGGAAAGGGTTGTTGTTGTCCCAAACATGCTGTAAAAGAATGAAGTAAACACAGAGGCTTTTAAGTGAAAGAAACGAATACGACATGATAGCTGTGGTGGCTAGTCAGATGACCCAAACTATAGTCATCTGGGAGGACGAAACCTTAGTTGAGAAAGTGCTTCTATAAAATCTGGCTGGAGGCAAGCCTGTGGTGCTTTTTCTAGATTGATGTAGAAAGGGCCAGTCCACTGTGGGTGGTGCCGCCCCTGGGTTCCATAGGAAAGCAGGCTGGGCAAACCATGAGGAGTGAGCACTCCTTCAGCACCTCTCCATCAGCTCCTGCCATCAGGTTCCTGCATGGTTTGAGTTCCTGCCTTGACACCCCTCTCCCTCCCTCAGGAACCATGACACTGGATGTGTAAGCTAAATAAACCCTTTGCTCCTCAAGTTGCTTTTGGCTATGGTGTTTCATCACAATGGTAACCTAACTAAGACGCTAGCCATGGAGGTCTTCCAGTTCTTACATAGGGCAAATTTATGAAAACAGAGCTCTGATCGAACAATTAAAAATCACAAATATTTCCAGACAAGGTGGTGGATACCTTTCATCCCAAAACTCCAGAGGCAGAGACAGGCAAATCTCAAGTTTGAGGCAAGCCTGGCCTATGGAGCGAGTTTCAAGATAGCCAGGGCTATGCACAGAGAAACCCTGTCTTGAACTCCATTTCTCCCCCCTAAAAATCATAAATATCAAATTAAGCATTATAACTACTAGCACTTGATTTTGCTAAGAAATGAAGGGAGGCAGAGGGCAGAAAGGGGATGTGCTCAAATATATCTGTAATTCCAGCACATAGGAAGGTGGGGCAAGATAATTGCCTTGGGTCTAAATTAAATAAGAAGTTCTATGTCAGCCTGAGTCTACAGTGGATCATTGTTTTAACCCTCACATTCATCTCAAAACTATTCAGATTAAACTGATAGAAATTAAATAAACTGCAGTTAGAAAGCTGAAGCAAGCTTGTCACAGACCAAAGCTACAAGAAAGACTCAAAAAAAAAAAAAAAAAAAGAAACAAAACATAAATATACGGTCTGTGTCCTGTCTCAAGCTGATAAAGTATAATGTCTAGTCTGATAGTATTTGCTGAGAGAACACTAAAAATAGCATGCAGAAAAACAACTATTTTTCAAGTAAATGGCAAAGAGCTTTTAGCAAAGATGTTGATTTTCACAGAAGGAGAAGTGAGCAAAGGAAACAGGTCTGAGACTTAGCACACAAACTGAAAATCACATGGCTCTGGGGTTACCAAAGGCTGACACAGGAAACTTACGGAAATAACTCGTGTTTTCTTTGGTGGTAAAGGGAGAGGAAGGTTGGATGAGTTTCGGTTGATGGCAGCCTCTATAGCAATCATTTCTTGCTCATACATTTTCTTGATCTTACAACATTCCACAAGGATGAAATGGGGCAGGGTCCTATTCATTACACAATTTCGGATATACTGCAATAGCAAGAGAGACAAAGGAAGAGATTTTTAGGCAAGCACGTAAATCAACAAAGAAAATTAATCTGAATGACACTATACTAAATGTACAGTACATGTATATGCTACTCAATTCAGTATCAATAATGTAATCATTTAAATCACAACACAGGAAGGCTTGAGGCAGTGCACCAGTCACTGGCTACTCTTCTAGAGGACCTAGACTGGATTCCCAGCATCCACAAGGTGGTTCATAACTGCTAACTCCAGGTGCAGGAAATCCAGGGCCCACTTCTGGATTCTGTGGGCACTGCATATCACGGTGCATAGACATACATGCTGCTAAAACAGCCATACACATAATATAAAGATAATTTTAAAAATACTACAATACAGGAGGTGGTGAAATGGCTTAGTGGGTAAAGGCACTCGTCACCAAGCCTGATGACTCATGCTTACCCTTGACCTACATCGTGGTTCCAGAGAAACAATTCCCACTGCACACAAATATACACAAAACAAATGGCAGTGGTGGTGCATCCTTGTGGCGCACTGCTGGGAAACTAAAGTTAGGGACCACAAGTTTGAGGCCAGCCTGGGAAAACAGCCTCAAAAAACAAAGGTCTGAGGATGTAGTCTGGAGAGATGAATCCTCTGCCCAGCAGGTGCAAGGAACCCAGTCCAGTCCCCAGCACAAACAAACAAACAATCAACAAAGCCCCATCTACTGTTAATTGAGTGCCTAATTACCTAGGAATGGAGTGAGAGGGACACACACAGTATGGCTATTCTTCATCAAGAGACCAAGCGCCATTTCACAGTTCATGGCCATGAAAATCCAAAGGGTTAACTTATACACCCCATTATCTCTAAGACGCAAACATAAATTGATTTGTCTGATGCCCAAGTCATACTTTAGCTAATCTGCCAGGAATGGTATATGTGGTTCATTCCAGAGGACCTCTGAGGTAGCCCTTTTTCAGACAGGACTCTAGGTGAGCATTCCAGCAGTTTAGCCAGGAAAGACCTTCTGGTCTTTCAGCCTACGGCTCTATTTTATTTTCATAAAACTGGAGGATGCCTTGCAAGATAACAGAACATGAGGAAAAGAAGTTTGTGATTCCAGGTTGCTCACCAAGCACTTTTACTTTCTTCCTCCTCATCAGCCAGAGTTCAACTGCTTACTACCCCAAAGCTGTGCAGATAAACTGTAACTGTCCTTTGGCCCTCCTGAATCAGGGGCCACAGCAGAACCTTAACAAAGGGTATGAAATTCTGTTACCTGTTAAACTAATCTCAACCCACTTTCCTTTTGGACACTTGAAACAAGGTGTCACATAGCCTAGATTGGCTGGACTACAGAGCATGAGTGTGCTGCCACACCTGGCTTCAAATCTTTCCTTCCATACAAGTATCACTTTAATATTTGGCACCTGCCTAAGAAGGCAGGCGTGTTAGCTAGCTCACTCATATAGCTCAGCAGCTGGGAGGCTGATACAGGATTACTTCCCTGAGGGCTATAGAGTGGGGCCTTGGTCTCCTAAACACCAACACTTCCATAAAACAAAACAAAAGCCAAACAAACAAATGAGCAGGCTTTCTAGTGTTACACTGACCTCTCACATGGCTCTTACTCAAATGCTACTCCTTTAGCAACCACTTCTTAGTTCCCAAATCAATACACCTATCTTTATGTTCCTCGATGACGAAGCCAAGCATATATTCACAAAAAAGTCTTGAGCCAGGCCTGGTGGCACACAGCTTAGGCCCAGCACTCAGGAAGTAGAGGCAGAGGGGTCTCTGGGAGTTCCAGACCAGGATGATCTACATACATAGTAAGGTACAGGGCAGCCAGGAGACACAGCACACACAAAAAATAACACAACTTAAAGCGCAAATCTTGAGGGGAACAGGATAGTGTACTGTCTGCACTGTACGTCTCCGTGAACTCTACTTCACTCCAGAAACAACTTAAGGCAGCTTAATGTCTTGCAATGAGAGAGTGAGACCATGAGTTAACTGGTTTGTTTGCTTATTTATTTATGGACGGAGGGGAGAGTGCATGCAACACACCACGTGTGTAGAGGTCAGAAGACAATTTCCACTTCCACCTTATGGATCCCAGGGGTCAAAACTCAAGTTATCAGGCTTAGAAAAGCAAATACCCTGTACTCACAGAAGCGTCTTACTGGCCACTGTAGACAGAATATACTCAAAGAATTCAAACGATATACACACAGACACACACACACCAACTGGGACCTAACATTTGTAATCCTTCTCCCATATGTGGAAGTAATAAAAATAAAAAATATGACAAAGCAGTGAATGGGAAATTGACAATAGTAAAGCACATGCTCAAAATATAGAAGGTCCTGCGTTCAATCCCCCCTGCCCCCCAAAAACCCCTAGAAGAATCTTTTTCTTTTGAAACAGATTCAGTGCCATTATTATGGGTGCATGTGCAATGGGGGAGTGGGTACAAAGGCCATAGGATGGCTCTGTGGAGTCGGTTCTGTCCTTCCACCTTCACCTGAGTTCCTGGAACCAAATCCAGCTCCTCAGCACAGCTCAGCAACCACCTTAACCTGCTAAGCCATCTTGCTGGCCCTCAAATTTTTACTTTTTCTATGAGGTGCTTGTAAGTATCTATCTAAACAAGTAAGTTTTTTGTTTTTTTTTTTTTTTTTTTTACCTTCTTCAGAATATAACACTTGAATCACATTTGTATAAAAAGTAATGAGCAGCTATACAAAGCACACTGCTAGGAATTCATGCTCCAGGAAATAATGTTAAGCACTAAAATAATCCACAAACAGAGTGCAAACGCACTGACACATATTTACAGGCACAACCATTATGCCCCGAGCGAACCTAACTGCTAAAAAGTCAAACACCTGCCAAACATTAGTGATGATTACTTAGGGGCAGGGTCCAGTAACAGAAGCTTACTGTATAATCCTACAAAGCTTTCTGTAGCTCCCAGACACAGGCACTTCCTTAAAGTTGAGGAAGTTAAGGCATCGGTGCACACTGTTCTACTGACAGTCAATATACATACCTGGAACTGAATTAGTGGGTGCTCACCAAATACATACTCCACTCTCCCGCTTACTTGTAAAACATAGTCGTAGGGGCTAGCTTCATCTTCCTTTCCATGAATAGTCAAGCGTTTCTGGATTGCTAATTCATTTATCTTTATAGGATTCAAATTGGGAGACACTTGAAAACTAAATACATCCTAAAAAGAGGAAAGGCAGAAAACATGACACAGTTTGTATTTGGCTGGAAAACAATTGTGCTCAAATATTCAATATGCTAAACATGTACACACATATAATTTGTTTTCTGATAATTTATACATTAGGTTACTATATTCTGAGTGTCACAGCTCCCAAGGAAAAATTAGTATTTAGTTGAAGTGGCAAAGTGGCATTATCCTACAATCCAGGCACGTAGGAGATGGAGCCAGAAGGATCAGGCATTTGGGCCAGACTCAATACTTTCGATCTGTATAGTAAGTTTATTCTTTTGAAGAATATAAGGGATTTATACTCTATTGTTTGGAATCTTTGGTAATAGGAATATTTACTGGTCATTTAAAAAACATTAATTGAGAAGTAAAATGTCTAGTTTCTTTGAAGACTCAGTTGTATCATGTGATGTTTTGCTGGAAGCTGTCTTGTGAGAGGGCATGTGTTTTGCTGTGAACTGTCTCGTGGTAGGGGCGTGACTTCATCCAGCTGAAAGCATCCCTGGGTTGGCTTTGAGGACAGGATATATTTATGTAAGCCCACAAAGAGTGAGACAACACTTTTTGGATCAAAACCGCCGTGTTGGTCTTCTTCAACACTTCACTTCGTAGAACGATATGCTCCAGAGAACTTCTTGGGGCGTTCCAACTGAGTCTTGCAGCTGCCACTGAGTTGTCCAAATCTGCTGAATCATGCTGATTCATGTTGCTGTTTGGTGTTGGCATTTGGACTGATGGTATCCAGACAAGGAAGAATGGACACACCTCAAGGAAGTACTTCTAAAAAGGTCTACAATACCCTTTTCCTATTAACCTTCTTTCTCCTCTACCTCAGTGGACTGCAGAGGGTAGAAGCAGTTAAGAACCCTAGATAACGTAGGTTTGTTGAAAAAAATCTAAGCCTACAGAGAAGCCTCCTAGTTTTATGAAAAGCAAAACAAGGTGATATATGACTGTTTACTATTTCTTTATGCAAACATTTAAATATCATATTCATTTGTTTTACTTCAAAGAAAAAAAATCCCACACCCCAAATTAGCTGAAGTTTACTACTGGACAATAATCCAGTGGATAGTGTCTTATTTATTATTAATTAATAATTAATAGTGTCTTATTAATTATTAAACCTGTGGCTGGGATACTGCAGGCACTAGTTTTTCAAATGTTACTTTATTCGGGGGTTCCTTAAAGCTTATACCTCTCTTCCAACCCCCCCAACACCAGGGAGGGGAAAAAGAAGATTGTAAGGGAGAGAGGATATAGCCCTCTTTATTGCTTCCTGCTGGGCAGGGTTGTAGGATTATTTTGGGGGCAAGACCCATGTCTGTTGTCAGGATATCCAAAAGTCCAGATAACCAGCAAACCAGCAAGCCAGAAAGCCAGCAAGTGCAACAAGCAATCTTCCTCCATCTACTTCTACCCACTGTGCCTTCTTTTTCCTCTGAGCTACCATATTTGTATTCCTCAGAATTCAACTAATTTCGGCTGACAAAGCCCACTCTCCGCATGAGACTATTAACAGGTTCGGGCAAACTAAAATCCCCCAACATGTTTACATATAATAAACCAAAATGTCCACAGTAGGGTACAGTTCAGCAGCAGCCCACTGGCCTAGCATGATGTCTATTTATTGTTGTTATTTTGAGTTTTGGAGACAAGGTTTCTCAGTGCTGTCTTAGAACTTGCTGTGTAGACCGGGTTGGTCCTGAACTCAGAGAGTTGCTGCTTCTGTCTGACCCTGGAAATAAATATGTGCACTACTATGCCCTGCCTGGGTTTTGATGACCAGCACAGACAAAAAAAAAAAAAAAAAAAAAAAAGCCTATATGGGTAATTGGTAAGAAAAGATATATAACTTATTATTAATCCATAAATTAATGATTTCTGTCCAATTTTACAAACGTAAAGAGAGAGCTGCTGGGCACTGAACCTAGAGTGGTGTGTATACTACTACTTCTGAGCTACACACACAAACAACATCAACCAAAACAACAATGGGGGTTAGAGCTGTAGTTCAAGGGTCTGCTGGCAAGCATGAAGCCATGGATTCAAATCCTAGTGCTGCACCTGCAACGCCAGCAGTGGAGACAAGCAGATATGGATCAAAATTTAAAGGTCATTCATGAGACCTGACTCAAAAAAAAAAGGTAGCAATGGAAAAAAGAGATCATGTTCACTAGGCTTTTTCCCCCTTCTCTGCTATTTAAAATACCTCTTTAAGAAGCTAGAGACAGAATGCTCAGCAGTAAGAAACACTGGCTGTTCCTCCAGAGGGCCTGAGTTCAATTTCCAGCATCTACATGGCAGCTCACAACTGCCTGTAACTGCAGTTCTAGGGGATCCAACGCCATCTGGCCTCTGTGGAGACCAGGCAGGTAGTACACATATATGCAGGCAAAAAGCTCACACATGTACAGTAAAACAAAAATGAGATGTCACCTTAAATTTTCTATTCTTTTAGAACTGCAAAACGCAGTTAAACAGTACAGTCTGACAGCTCATTTCTATACTATTATAACGCACGGAAAACTGTACAAAGGCTATCACTTTAGAGAGTCCTATGCAGTTACAAACTAAGCACCGACTCCACAAGTTCTCTTTGTAGTAGTACTTTCTAAGCAAGTGCTTCCAGGAATGGAGCAGTAGTCTGGTAAAACAAGAGACTCACCACAAAATAACGTAAATATTATACCAAGCACTACCTGGCTGTTTTCAAAATGCACAGCTACGATCAGCTTTCCTCCGTAAAGTTTATCTTCCAGGTTCTCCAGGACAGATGTCTCATGCTCAGGGGGATATGTGTGCTTTAGCCAGTCAATCCAAGACAGCCCCACTAGAGACTGAATCTTGTCCTCACTGAATTTGCGCATTTTTCTTCTAAATTCGTTCACTTCAGGATCCTTCAAGGCATCAAATTCATGAAGACCTAAAGGAATTTTGTAAAGATGTCAGTTTTTTAGTAGCTAATAATAATCAAAAAAAAGAAGAATATCACAAAATATCTTCAATACAAACTAACTTGGATATCTGACTTTTACCAAGCAGATAAAACAACAAAAAACTACATGGGAGATGACAAACACACAGATAAAATGAGTCTTGTGTATAAAATACAAATGCTGTGGGATCTCTAGAACATAAATTTATTAACATTATGTAGAACTATAGATGGGCTATCAGTCTTATAACCATCAAAACCGGGCATGCTGTAATACTGGTAGAATTTGGGGTTGAGGACAGAAGAGCTGCTAGAAGTTTCAGAACAGCCAGTGCAACACAGTAAACATATACTCTCAAAAGTAAAAATGTTTTTACTTTTTTTAAAAAAATTATGAGAGGACCCTAACTAAAATGTTCAATCCCCATCCTGAAAGGCAAAGAGGATGTACATCAGAAGAAAACGAAAATAGGAAACAACCTCGGAACCCGCTACAGAGGGCCTCTGAAAGCCAGAAGAAAACAGGAAACCACCTTGAAACCTGCCACAGAGGGCCTCTAAAGCTTCTGCAGTATAGACTGTCAAAGCAGATGCTGAGCCTGATGGCCAACTGATGGGCAGAGTGAATGGAATTTTATGTAAGAAGTGGGAAATAGTAAGAGCTGGAGGGAACGGGAACTCCACAAGCAGAGCAACAGAACAAGATAATTTGAACACAGGGAACTTCCCAGAGACTCCTACTCCAACCAAGGACTATTTGTGGAGATGACCTGGAACCCCTGCACAGGTGTAGCCCATGGCAGTTCAGTGTCCAAGTGGGTTACATAGTAATGGGAAGAGGGACTGCCTCTGACATAATCTGATTGGCCTGCTCTTTGATCACTTCCCCCTGGGGGGGAGCAGCCTTACCAGGCCACAGTAGAGGACAATGCAGCCACTTTTGATGAGAACTGATAGACTAAGATCAGAAAGAAGGAGAGGAGGACCTCCCCTATCAGTGGACTTGGGGAGTGGCATGCATGCAGAAAGGGGAGGGAGGGTGGGATTGGCAGGGGAGGAGGGAGGGGCTTATGGGGGGATACAAAATGAATAAAGTGTAATTAATAAAAAATAAATAAAAGATTTAAAAAAAATTATGAAAATTATTTTTCATAATAAAAAACGAAAGTTATAATACACATGACAAAAGAATCATAGATTTTCCTGCATAGTCTTATATACCTGTAAAAAATAAAAAAATAAAAAATTACTGAGCTGGGTACAGGGGCCCATGCCTGTAATCCCAGCACTCAGGTAGGCAGAGGCAGGCAGATCACTGTGAGTTTGAGGCCAGCCTGATCTACAAAGGACAGCCAAGGATACATAGAGAAACCCTGTCTCAGAAAAGAAACAAAAAGCATTACTGTAAATTAGCTGTGGATGACCTATATAATTTTAGTAGAAACATTTGGACCCCTAGCTGACACATATGCCCCAGGATAGCTATGAATGTGGCCCAACAGAAAACATCATGAAGAATTTGGGGGAGGGGGGTGACGTCTGCATAGTTCCTGAGCATAAACTCTGTAGGTTTAAGACTGTGTCGCCTACAATGGGAATTCTTAGAGTGCACAGTTAACATTCTTCTGTTCACAGTAATAGCTATTACAGTGTTGGAAAGAGAAATGAGCACCCAACAGCAAAAATCAAACCTTTTACTACATCTAATCCATGTCTTTTCTTGGTGGGGCAGTGATATTTGAGACAGGATTTTACCACATTCCCAGGCTGCTCTCAAATTCAAATTCAAGGCAATCCTCATGCCTTGGCCTGCCTGCTAAAATTGCTGGGTGCGCCGCCATCCTCAGCTCTAGAAACCTTCTGAATGTCTGCCGATTGTCTACCTGTCTGTTTCTGCAGTCCTAACCTAATCCTAGCCCTCAGCACCCTCCATCAGCAACTATCACAATTTTCACAGATTCCTTGTTGTTGTTTTTTAAGTTACACATGTTTACTGATTTGGTGGGAGAGAAGAGACAGGCAGGCAGGCAGGCAGACACACACACACAGGAGCACACAACTCAGAAGACGATTTGTTGGAAATGCTCTCTCCTCCTACCATGTGGGTACTGGGAATCAACCTCAGGCTATCCTGTTTCCAGGGTCTTTATGACAACGAACAACAGCCTTAGCATGAAGGCCTAAACTCTCCAATCTCTCACTCCAAGCAAGCTTTCTACAATGCAAATCTGATGTTACTTCCCATTTAAATTCTTTCAATAGAAAATTTCCCAGAATGGGACTAGGGGATAGGGCTCGGCTGCTAAGGGTGTGCACTCCTCTTGCAGAGGTCCAAATCTGCTCTCAGCACCTACTTTGGTGGGGAGGGACTCACAACTACCTGTAACTCCAGCTCCAGACGACCTGGCACCTGCACTCTCATACACATACCCAAATACAAACACAGAATTTAAAAATAAACTTTTCAAAAAAAATTCCTCAGGGAACAGAGTAGGAAGAGTGTTCAATTCACTAACTGGGCCAAGAGGATGTATGTTCACAGGGCCTGATGGAGAGGAACTTGGAGGACGGGGCTCACAGCTGAGCTGGTGGCACCCCAGTCTTCAGATTCAAAGGGGCCTCTGCAATGTCACTATCCTCTTTGGAGAGCTTTTCTTGTGCAAAGGTTTAACTTTTGCCCATTCTCCTGAATTATCAGAAAAAAGATTCCAGCCCAACCAAGATGAAATGAATCCTTCCACACTGATGAATACCCAGGGTCCATTTGCTCCACTGAAATTACAAATGGGGTTTAAGGCATCGTAGCAGGCTCGGTGTCCTCCATGTCTTTCAAGCTCAAACATTTCACAGGATCTGAGGGGTAAAGGCAGGACTGCTGATTTTGGAGCTATTCTTGATGACCCGTCACAAAGTGAATGAACGAGACAAACGCTTCTCTGAAGAATAGAAACTGTTCACTGTAAAGCAGCATGATGCTCATGAATGGGAAAGGCACCCTGCTACAGTCTTGTTATAATGACACATGAAAAGGAAGTAGAGGGGAGTCAGGGGCTCCCAAGAGCTTAAGCAGTAAATCTCGAACTTTTCTGATAACTCTCCCTGCTCTGAGCTACTGTGTACCTAAATAGTCTATACTGCTTATCCTTTCGGACTCTTTCAACAACTATTATCAATTCTTGTTAGTCTTCACGAAGGCCATCTCTGTATGACATTCCCTTTTGCTCGCCTTTCCTATAAACCCCTTCATTTGCAAAACTCCTCAGCACTGAAACCGGTTTAGAATTACTCCCCAAGCAGCCGTCCTCAATTTACTTAAGATGACCCTTTGTGACTTGGCAGGGTACTCACTGCCTTCTAGTGTCTCCTAATCCCTTACTTCCCACAGTGAAGTTCCATATTTACAAATTCAATATAAACTGGGTGTGGTGACACACACCTTTAATCCCAGCACTCAAGGAGGCAGAGGCAACAGGATCTCTGAGTTCCAGGCCAGCCAAGGCTACAAAGAGAATCTTGAAAAAACAAACAACAATAAAAAAAAAAAAAAAATCAAAACAACAAAAAAAGATTCAATATACATTGAAGAACGGAAATCACTACTGATCTATTAACAATTTCTTCTTTGATACAAATGTGTAAGGGTTTATGCACATACGTGCACATAAACCAGTGGGGGCCAACAGACAATTCCACGTCTGCCCGAGTACGGGGATTACCAGCAATTGCTCGGGGTGTTGTTGTTGTGTGTGTGTTTGTCTGCTGGAACAGTGTCTCTTAGATAGTTCTGGTTGTCCTGGAAATTGCTATGTAGACCAGGCTGGCTGGTCAAACTCACAAAGAGTCTCCTCCCATGCCTTTGCCCGACAGTGCTGGGATTAAAGGTACATACTACCACTCCTAGCCTGCGCACATTCTTTTTATAAAGTAATGCTGCATGAATTTTGAGAACCACTGAAAAAAATCTTTCAAAAGTAAAGTTTGGGGCCAGCAAGATGGCTCACTAAGAGATACTTAAGGGAGGACGCTTGCCGCCAGGGCTGATGGCCTAAATTTCATTCCTGGAGCCCACATGGTGGAAGGAGAGAATGGACTCCTATAACCTGTTCTCTGACCTCCACATGTGCACAAACAAGCACACACATAAACAAATGCAAAAATGCTTCATTGAGCGAGGGAGATAGCTCAATGGGTCAAAGTAACAGTTGTAGAAGATCTTGTCCTCTGACTCCACACAAAGTACAACACAAGTTTAATTTTTTTTAAATTTAGGGGCTAAGGTTAAGTAAGCATGGTGGCACACTTGTGAGGCAAAACCAGGTCGATCTCTGTGAGTCCAAGATCAGCCTGTTCTACATAGTAAGCACCAGCCAGCCAGAAGAACATAGTGAGAACTCTGCCTTTAAATTTTTATAATATTATTATTATTTAAATGGGGGGGGGACAGGCATAGTGGCAAATATCTGAGGAATTTAGAAAATAAAAGCAGTACGATCTCAAATTTAAGGCTAGGTAGGTCTATATAAGCTAGTTCAAGGTCAGCCTGAGTGGCATAGCAAGACTGTGTCTCAAAAATGATACTACTACATGCTAGTGTTCTCGGTATCAGGAGGCACTCTGTATGCTATCAAAGGAGAAAGGTAAATGGCAACCCAGCTACAAACCCCTCAATCTATAATGGTGCCCTGCTTGCAAGGCAAGCTAGTGAAACAGAAGCACAAAGCTTGTAGGAGTAACCAACCAATATCTGATTTTATTGAAGCCCCCCTTCATGAGATGAATCCTACACCCTATACTGCTTAGGTGACTAAGAACCTGAGACCAGGTAGTCTAGAGACCTGGGGAAAACCAAATATTACTGTTCTACTAAAGAAACATAGCAATAAAATTGCTAGTTATATTCCTAATTATATTCTGCTATACTGATTGATCAGTGCTTTGTCCAGAGATCTTCAGGAACACTTCCTCCTGCAACAGATGGGAAAAAAATGCAGGGACCACAGCCAGACAATATGCAGAGCGTAAAAGAGACCTTGAAACACTCATCCCTAAACAGTATGTCTCCATAAAATCCCTCTCCTCAGGGCTCAGGGAACCCTGCAAAAAACCTGTTGGAAAGAATGTAAGATCCAGAGAGGAAGGAGGACACCAAGAAAACAAGGACCTCTAAACAGCAGGACCGAGACACAGATGAACCCACAGAGCCTGAGACAGCATGCACAGGGCCTGCATGGCTCTGCACCGGATGCCGTCCTAGAGCTGAGAGGAGAGGTGGACACATGTCCCGTCCCTAACCCAGGAGCCTTCTCCAACTGATAACCACTAGCAAATGAAAATTTAGTTTTCTACAAGGAAGTCTCACCAGGGAAACAAACTACTCCCCATGGTAGGCTGCGTGTCCAGCTGTAAATGGCCAAAAAAAAAAAAATCCTGAAGTCAATGGCATCTTTGTCTTTGGAGGTTCTTTGTCTCCTAATGTTGTATCAGACCTGTTTTGTTTTTTTTTTTTTTTTTTTAAGCCTTACAGGTCATTTGTATATATTATGGCATTCCTGTGTGTGTGAGAAAGAGAGAGAATACTTTTTCTTTGACTTTTTCTTCTCTTTGCCCTATTTCCAATTGGTTTGTTTTATCTTATTATATCCCTTATTTTATTATCCTTTAGATGCCTTTTTGTTTTCTAACAAAACAGAAAGGTGATGGAAGATGAGGATAAACTGGGTGGAGGAAGGGAGCAAAACTAGAACATATTGTATGAAAAAAATCAATTTCAAAAAATAAAATTAATAAATTTTTTTAAAACTTTAAAAGCTATAAAAACAAATAAAAGCTTGGGACTGGAGAGTAATTCAGAGATGAGCTTGCCTAGCATTAATGAGGCTTTGGGTTTGATTCCCAGGACCAACACTGACAGAAAAAAACATATGCCATTAATAACTTAAGCTAAGTAATTTAAACTTAATTTTCTATATACTTTCTCCTATGAAAATTATTTTTAAAAAAGTGTATTCATATAGACGAACATTATACTTAAAAAGCATGAGAAAACAGTTCGGTCACACTAAAAATATTACTACACTCCTACAGACCGCCAGGCAAGCTGGCAAGTGACCAGTCTCCATCGGCACTAGCGAGTATAGCCATGGGAGGCCCAAGCACGCACAGAGTGGGAGCAGATGCCAGGCCTGGGGAGGGGAGGGGTGCTGGGTGATGATGATCCCAGGGCCGGGCACATCAAGCCAGCACTCTGGCATTAGCCCCACAGCTCTCTTGGGAAATGCTGATTCTGAGACAAGGGCTCACCAAGCTGCAAGGCTGCCTTTAAGGCTTCAACGTGTGATCTTCCTTCCCTGGTCTGCTGGGACTATAAACCTCTGAAACCATTCTCTTCAGACTGCTGATAAAACTGTCTGGCTATGATTCTACTTTACTGGGTGCTGTAGAAAACAAGGCAGTGGAGCATACATTCACAGGAGGGAGAAGCCAGAGCACAAAGAGCAACTTGGTAAATAATTATTTAGGATAAACAGTAAAGAAAACATGAAGCACATCATCCTAGAGGAAACGGTATTTTTAGCCTGCTCAGGGCAGTTCTGCTGTAAAAGTTCTATTGTTTTCTTTGGACAGAGGAGGCAGCAACCTTGTTCCTGAAGTTAAACTGAAGTAATTGTTTATTGTTTTCTCAGGAGGCATGACCTCACCCAGCCCTGGATACAGTCATTATGGACAGACCAGCAACTGCAGACATGGCCTCGTTAGGTAGGAAGAGTGAGGACTTGTTCTGAAACAGACTTCCTACATAAAAACTTTTAGCGTATGATCTTAAAGAATTGCCAGATCCCCTAAAAATAAATACTTATAAACAGCTAAGAGCATATAAACTGCTTAATTTGTGCTATAAGTACCGTTTACATCTTGATCAACCTGAAGAGCACATTACACAAAACACAGATGCAGTAAGTCACAAGACACTGCGTGAACCGCAGCATCTATAGCTTTGTAGCACACCCTCATGCTGTGGTGGCTGGAGTCCGGGCTGAGATGAGAAGACGAAACTCTGCTCAATCACTGTATTCGAAGACACAGTTTAGCCCAAGCATATCCTATGTAATATTTGCATTTCCTACATTTTTATTTGCTAAATTTACAGGCTTAGGAACAGTTAGTGGTAGCTAGTTAATCTACATCTAAGATTAAAATGGCCATTAAGAGTAATCTAAGTTTTGGGGCTACAGGATGGTTTAGTGGGTAAAGATGCTGACCACCAAGCCTTAAGACCCCAGTTCAATTCCCCCCAGAACACAGTTGATGGAAAACCAGCCAAAACTTTGTCCTCTGACTTACACACAGAGAGAGTTAAGCAAGCACTCACACATAACTAACTAAATACATACATACATACATACATACATACATACATACATACATACATACATAAATGTGATAAAGCAACTTGGAGTGCTACGTAAGCACCTTACTGAGTTCTTCCCTCCACTCTAAAGAAAAAAAATACCTTAAAGGGGGGAGGGGCACTGTATTGTGCTACTATAGTGAATCTCAGCAAAGCAGGTAGTCAATCAAATCCAAAAAGCTCCAGGACTTTCTGATTTGGAATTAATCTTCCCAAGTCCTAGCCTTAGCAACCCCATCTAAATCAGATCAGTACTTTCTCTAAAGCAAGATGTTGACAGACATTAAATATTTTCTGCTAAGATTTCTATAGCAAAAAAAGAATTTACTCTTCTATGTCCTTAAATTTCTCCAGAAATTATTTTCTTTTTGTCACAGGGTCTTGTCTAGCTAGCCCTTGACTAGTTTCTAGCTTGCCATGTAGTTGAGGATGACTTTGAACTCCTGACCCTTCCAGCAGTTCATGCATGCCAGGCAAGTATCCTACCAACTAAGCCCCTTCTGACATCTTCTGCCCCTAGAAATAATTTAAGGAATCAGGGACATATCTTTATTTGATACAAAAATAACATCTAATTAAAAACAAGCTCAATGAAAGAGCAAAAATCTGCCAAGAACACGAGTTAATTTATAGAAACATTAATCAACATATGGTCTTAATTGGTAAACAATGACCTATAAAATAGTTCATATTATGTGAGGATTATGGGTAGTTCATTAAAAAAAAATAAAAATCATCTATTAAGAAAGGATTTCTCAGCCAAGTAAAGCAGTGCGTGCCTCCAATATATCTGCACCCATGAGGCTGAGGCAGAAGGGTATCAATTTCAACTTGTCTGAGACAGAGTCTCATTATATTTAACTTCCCGGCTGGCCTCTAACTCACAGAGTGCTGGGACTACAGGAATGCATCATGACACTCAGTGAATCGCAATTTCAAGACCTCAGCTTGTCTACATGGTGAGACAGAAACCAATCTGGGCCATTATATATGACCATCTGTTGGGGGAATTTCTCAAATTATATGAAGCAAACAAACAAACAAAAACACAAAAAAACAATTATTTCTTTCCCATTAAATACCAATTCTTTTGTAAAATAAAAATAAATCTATGGTAAAGAAAGAGACATAAAATGCAAGCCCTTGGATTTTGTAATGGCAACATTACATTGCTAGAGCTGTGTCTAAACATTCACCCTTCAGCTCTACACATACCTTATTCTCCAACCCTCAACATGCCAGTCTATGAACTAAACGTTGAGACTAATACCTTAGAATACACTTACATGTTAACACACAGAACAAAGATAAAGAATTCATACTGAAAACTTTTTAAATTACCTTTTCCAATAAGGACTCCAATTTTTGAGTCCAATTTTTCTGCTGGGTCACAACTTCTAGTCACTAGTTTGAGAACTGGAAGAAAAGGTCTAACATCACAAAGTCTTCGTGTTTCATCTTCAAGTTCCTCATATACAGCAGTTTGATTCACACATGCAAACATATAGGAGTCAATGTCCATAAGGAGGTTAAACATTGGGTAATTGTGAACTTGCTTCCATAACATCTGCAGGGAAAAACAGTAAGATTTACCTGGAATACTGCCACATGTATAAAAGATATATATATATGAATACCTATTAGCACAGTTTGCAAAAGTCAGAACTCATGGGGCTAGAGGTAACTCTGCAATTAACTACAATGGCTAAAAGCCAGGCATGGTGATGCATGCCTACAATCCCAGTGCTCTGAGAGGCAGAGACAGGTGGATCTGAGTTCAAAGGCCAGGGACGGGAGAGGCCACCTTACTCGGTGACAGAGAGGGAAGCAGAGAGAAAATCAGCCCAAGAGTAAAAAATGCCCTTTCTTTGAGAACAGCCAGGAGATGAACACATCCTACAGGTTGCCCTTGAACTGCCTGAAGCGAAATTGAAAGCTGCTCAGAAATTCAACCATCAGAAGCTCAGCAGTGGGTCTCCAGCTGGCTCCTGCTGGGTATTTGTACACCCTGATTTGATGGTGTTTTGCTAGCTCACATGCCACTTGTTCTTTTACTTTTGTTTGCTATATACTTAATAAACTCGTTCATTCTAAACCAAAAGTACAATTATTACAGATATTCTCCTGATGATACAAAACAGCAAATTAAAATAGGTTATATAGGGAATTGTTGAGCATAGCACACAAGACATGTAAAGAAAATTGCCCGTATAGATTAAGAGCCAATGATATTTAACATTCCTAAAAATAACTTTGAATAAAAAACAAAAAACAAGATTGATCGGAGTGTGGTAGAATGGGTCTGTAATCCCAACACTTAAAGCAGAGTCAGGAGAAACAAAAATTCAAGGTTATCCTCCACCGTAAGTCCAAAGCCGGCCTAAACTATAAGAAATTCTAAAAATGTCTGAACTATAAATCTTAATGTCATACATATTTCCTAATTTAAAAAAATGAATAGTATCAATGGTTAACTCAAAGTCAGGCAAGGTTAAATGTCGTAGGAGAAAGCTGGTATGGGGACACACACCTGTGAGTCCCAGCATTTGGGTGGAGGAGACAGGAGGAATAGTTCAAGGCTATCCTCAGCTACATAGTGAGTATCAATCAGCCTGGGCTACATCAGGTCCTGTGTCATAAACAAGACAAACAGCCAGGCATGGCAGCATATGCCTTTAACTGTAACACTGGGAAGTGGAGGCAGGTGGATCTATGTGAGTTTGAGGACAACCAGAGCTACACAATATAGCAAAAACAAAAAGGCAAAAACAGACAAACTAGAAACTCTCAGTACCAATTCAATAGCTAAATTCTGCATTTTCTTTTAACTTTATAAATTATACTTTTAGAATTCTCATGTATCAATATTATAAAATATATCTGACAACTTTTCTGATTTTATTACGCAACTTTCATATAATTTAATGACTTTTTTAAAAGTCTATTTTACATGTAGTTCTTGATGAATTTCCTTCAGGCTTAGTAGTCTTGAAATAACTGCACTGTAGAGAGTAGGCAAGGTGGCTCAATGGATAGGCCTTGATGCCAAATCTGATGACCTGCGTTCAATCACTAGAACCCCCATGATGGAAGGAGAAAGCCAGCTCCTACGAGTTGTCCTGTGACCTCCACACATGCAGTTATACATGAACCCCTGCCACACACATGAACTCACACTAATACACACCCACATAAGCGTATGTATCAATAAGTAATAAGTAAGTAGATATATTAGGTGCAGCTGAGACAGACCTTGGGGCAATTAGCAAGGCTTCCTGTGAAGATTGTTAAGTATTTTATTTTAAACTAGGCAGGTTTAAGGACCCAGAGTACATGACCTTGGGCAGGGCCTCACGCCTCTCCCCAGACATTTCCTCAGAATCTCAAACAGCTATTAACTGTGTTTACAGTGAAGATATGGCTCGTTTCCTGCATCCCTGTGATCTAGACTTTCCCTTATCAACTGTAATCCTGCCAGGTGCACCCGTCCTCCCCCCAGCATCCATCTGGTGAGCTCATTAAAAAAAACAGCCCTCCAAACCCAAAGTTGTATATGTGATTGATTGATTGTTCTGACAAATATCAGAACTGTACTTTTAGCTTTAAGGAGACTGCAGCATCTTTGCAAAGCATGGTAGCTCGTGCCTTTAACCCCAGCACTTGGGAAACAGAAAGCAGATCTCTGTGGCATCCAAGGCCAGCCTACTCCATACAGCACGATACAACCCCAAATGCCTCTTCCTCCTGTTTCCATCTCCCACTCCCACTTCCCCCAACTAAAGGGGGATTACAGCACGTCATCATGACTAGTGCCAATCTTTCTTAATACAGACATTACATATGGATTTAAAACAAAGGTGGGAAAATAAACATGTTTATATATAAAAATAGGGCATATTAAAAATTTTAAAATGGTCTGAAATGTAATCATCTCTCAGTTTTGCCACATGATCTACACAAATAACATTTTCTATAATGAATTTTCCACTAGGTTACACCGAAGGTAAGCTAAATCTTGAGAAATTCTAACTGTAAACATACCTGTTTAATATAAGAAATGGTGGCTTCCCGGGGTACTTCCAGCTGGATATAAATGCCAGTGGGCAGAAGGAAATCAACAGATATGGAGCCATCAGATGCGATCTGTGAATCCACTGCCCAGATGTCAAGGATGTCTGCCATAGCAGGAGGCATTATAGAGCGGAAGCACATTCATAACCTTGAGGTGCTGGAAATCAAGCAAAATGGAAAAATCAGCATTAGCCAATTTCTACCATAAAACAAAACACAACAATCCAGGCATGCTGGAACAATTTTATGGTCCTAAGCTATTTGGGATATTGAGGCTATTGGGATATTGAATCAGTTGAGCCCAAGAGCTAGAAGCCTCAAATGTGAAGTACAGCAAAACTCTAAGAAAATGGCAAACTACTATTAGTTTTCTATTAGTTCTTTTTTTTAAAAAAAAAAGATTTTTATTTTATGTGTATAGGTGAGTGTCTTGAGTGTGTATGTGCATTGTACCTGCCTAGTGCCTACAGAGGCCGAGAGAGTCATGGGGGCCCCTGGAGCTGTTAGTTAGGTGATTTCCAGCTAGAAACCAAATCCAGGCCTTCTCCAAGAGCATCAAATGGTCTTAAGCCTCTGATCCATATATAATTCCTACAACTAGTTCTTAATTTCAGGACAGACAGTAATGCAATAGGAGTCCAATTAAATGTAGTTTGTTTTTCTTATCTCGGGGAGGGTACATAAACATGAGTAAAGCCATGGAGGCCAAGGGCATAATAAGTTCAGAAGTTACAAGAAGGTGTGAACCACCCAGTGTCATACTGGGGCTGACCTGGGTCCTCTTGAAAAAGCAGCAAGTGCTCTTAGCCACTGCGTCATCTCTCCAGACCACTAAATGTGGTATTCAAACAATCAAGGGGGAGGCTGAAGAGCCGGCTCAGTACCAGGTCCTACATGGAACTGATTGCCACAGCTGTCTTATGGCAGCCGCATACACGCACGCACGCGCGCGCGCGCGCGCACACACACACACACGTAAGTCTGATAAAAATTTAAAATAATAAGATAGCCAGAGAAAGTCAGAAACGGGGGCTCATGTCTGTAATTCCACTATTTGGAGGCTACACTGGAGAAGAAATGAGTTTAAAGTCAGCCTGAGCTACACAGGGAGACTTAGCTTTTAAAAATAAAATAAGGGGCTGGAGAGATGACTCAGCAGTTAAGTACTTTCTGTTCTTCCAGGTCTTGAGTTCAATTCCCATTGACAACATGGTGGCTCATAACCAACTATACTGGGATCTGATGCACTCTTCTGGCATGCAGGTGTACATGCAGATAGAGCACTAACATAAATCTTTAAAAAATGAAAATAAAATGAAACTGGAAAAAAAAACCACACAGGGCTGGGAGATGACTCAGCAGTCGATTGTTGCTGCTCAGACAGCGTTTGATTGCGAGCACCCAGCTTGAGTAGCTGGAACTGCAGGACCTCCAGAGGATCCAACACCTCTGGCTTCCTCAGGAACCTGCAATCATGTCTGCACATGCCCACACAGAGATACATATTTAAAAATAAACTAACTACTTAAAAAGAATAAATTATAAACCTAAAAAAGCAAGAGGAAGTCACTAGAAATCAATTATTTAAATTCTCTTTCAGTCATCACTATGTAAAATTTACAGACACACATAAGGAAGGTACACTGACCCAGATCTAAGATACTTAGTTTACTGTGGTATCTGATTACAAGCACACAGAGCTATAACAAACAGCAACAGTGAAGGTGATAAGGTTTCTATCAAGGTTTCTTTGATTTTTGGCTTTGGGGGTTTCACTTGAAACAGGGTCACCCCATATAGCCCAGGCTAGCCTCAAAATACAGACCCTCCTGTCTTCCACAGGCCTAGGTAACAAATGTGTGCCATCACATCCTGCTTTGTAGAGTTCGGTTTGGTTTAGTCTGGTATAGGGGGCTAGTTTGGGAGGCCAGGATCTTGTACTATGTTAGCCTAGGCTGGCCCTTAAACTCACAGCAATCCTACCTCGATTTCCCAAATGCCAAGATTACAAGTGTGTTATCAACTGCCCACAATTCTATCTTTCCAAATGCTGGTGGTCAAACACAGAGCCTTGGATAGTCTAGGCAAGCACTACACACTGAGTTCCATTCCCAAGACAAGTGGAGGTATTATTTAAGAGACAGAGCCTCCTGTGACCCAGGTAGCCTAGAGTTCCAGTATCTCCTGCTTCAACTTCCCAAATGCTGGAGTTACAGGCATACACCACCATGCTTGTTCCAATTAGAAATACTTTTAAGCCAGACATAGCAGTATACACCTTTAATACCAGCAAGCAGGAAGCAGAAATAGGCAGATCCCTGAGTTCAAGCCCAGCCTGGTCTACAGAGGGCTACACAGAGAAACTGTCTCAAACAAGCAAAAGAGAAATACTTCTAGAACAGGGCATAGTAACAAATACCTACCTTCCTTCCTTCCTTCCTTCCTTCCTTTCTTTCTTTCTTCCTTCCTTCCTTTCTTTCTTCCTTTTCTCTTTCATCCTTCCTTCCCTTTCTTTTTTAATTTTTTTTTTTTGAGACAGGGTTTCTCTCTGTAGCCTTAGCTATCCTGAACTCACTTTGTAGATCAGGATGGCAGAGAAAGGTATGCACCACCACTCCCCGTTCAGTAACAAATACTTTTAATCCTAGCATTTAGGAGGTAGAGCCAAAGGTGGGAATGGTCAGGGACCAGACTGATCTATAAAGTTTCAGGACAGCCAGGGCTACACACAGAGAAAGCCTGTTTCAAAAAACAAAACAAACAACAACAACAAAAAGCAAAACAAAAAGGAGGCAAAGGCAGTCAGATCTCTGGGAGTTTGAGGATAGCCTGGTATTCAGAGCAAGCTCTAGGCAATAAAGACCTTGTCTCAAAAAAGAGCACCCATCTCCAAAACTAAAATTACAACTGGGTGGTGGTGGCACAAACCTTTAATCCCAGCACTCTGGGGAAACATAGGCAGGCAGGTTTCTGAGTTCCAGGCCAGCCTGGTCTAGAGTGAGTTCCTGAAAAGCCAGAGCTACCCAGAGAAACCCTGTCTAGGGATAAGAGGAAAGAAAATTACAAGTGTTGGAATGTAGACTAGACGGGGAGGACATGCCTAGCGTGCATGAAGTTCTGAGTTCAAGCCCCAGCACTGCACCTCCCATTGTTGCTATTAAACTGAAAACAAAACATTTAGTTCCTCTTTGCCTTGTCATCCTTATTTCATATTACGTGCAAAAGCCAGTCTATGAGCTTCAGGTCAGGAGGTGTCTTAGGAGTAACTCCTTGTTTTAAAGGTAAGAAAACTAATTCCCAGAGACATCCCTAAGGAGGAAGACAGAGACAGGAGCAGGAAGGATGTTGTTTTATTTTTCAAAGCACTTAGCCATGTTTCCCTTGCCTCCTTTAAAGGAAATATTCTGCACAGGGCTACCAACTCCTCAATCATTATATCTTTTTCTTTCTTTCTTTTTTTTTTTTTTTTAAGTATGAAGGCACTGAGAACAGAAACATTTTTAAAAGTATGAAAACAACTTTCCAGGGAAGCTAAAAGGGTATGGAACACAATTAGTCCCACTGAAGCCCTAGACAGTAATTACAGCACACTAGCAGTGTCTGCCTGTTCGCAGGAGAAAAAGGAACAGTTTAAAGACCTCCACTTCCCCAGTGACACGCCAGCTAAGCCACTAAACTACTTCTGTAAATCAGGAGACAAGGAGAAACACACATGTGAACAAGCACAACTTAAACCACTCTGAAAACAAATGGAGAAAATCTGAAAGAGAATGAAAAGGAAATTAAAGACTACTGTTTTCTGTTTCCATGATAAAGTGACAGCAAAGTAAGTGTCCACTGCTCTATGTGTGACTTGAGCACAGAGGGACACTCACTCAGCCTTCCAGGTCTGGTCCCCTGGAACAAAAAGCTGGCCAGGGAGTACAAGAAGAGTAATAGAAACCATTCCTAACAGAGAAAGGCCTAACGGAGGATGGAAACACATAGAAAGCCAGGACAAGAAACAAAAGGCAGGGCCAGGGCTCTCTACAGGTCACTTAAGACATAGCCAGTGCCACCTTCTCCCAGTTCTGGAGCCTGGGCCTTTCCCTGAGCACAGTAATTTTTACACGTAGCCCTGGTAGTTTACGGTTTCCGATCTTCCTTTGTCAACTGGACTCTTTACTGTTAACCTGGATGCCTCTCTCTGTGCCCTGCTCTCCTCCCCAGAAGGTGCCACTAATCCTCTTTTAGCTGGGCAGTAGTAGCATATGCCTGTAATCCCAGAACTCACAAAGCAGAGGCAGGTGGATCTCTGTGAGTGCAAACTTGCTGTAATCCTCCTGCTCTACAGCAAAACTACAGTAGCGGGATTACATATAACTACCATGCAGGGTTTAAGTGTTTTATTTTAAAATCATTTTATTTAAATCATTGTAATTCTATTATCGAGATCTCTCTAAAGTAATTTTAATGTGTACACATGCAAAATGTGAAACATCCTTTTAAAAATCATGTTATTTGAATCACTGCAATTCTAGTATAGAGATCTCTCTCTAAAGTAATTTTTATTTTGTACATATGCAAAATGTGAACCAAAAAGTAATTGTAACTTATTGTTCATTTGTTTATTTTCTTTTTTGAGACAGGGTTTCTTTGTATAGTACTGGTTGTCCTGGAATTTACTCTGTAGACCAGGCCAGCCTCAAACTCACAGAGCTCCACCTGATCTCTAGAAATTAAAGGAGTACACCACCATGCCTGGCTGAGTATCAGTTTTTAATGTGGTATAAAACTCATTAATACTGGACCAGATCCATAGGGATGTTATGATACAGGAGATCTGTCTTTTTCTCTATGTGTGTGACTTTTTCAAAATTTATTCTTTTATTTCAAACACTTATAAAATACAGTCTGGTCACTTTACCGCCCCCTGGCCCTGTAACCATCTCCTGATGAACCCCTTCTTCCCAACAAGCCTGTCTTCCTACCCTCTGGTTATGTCTTTTGTGCCCCCACTAAGTCTGATTAGCGTTGTCTGCACAAGCACGGGTAGAAAGGTACTGACTGGAGCATGGGCATCTAACTTGCAGCCACTTCTGGAGGAAAAAAACTCCCCATCCCCCTGGCAACCATTAAGTGTCACCTCCTCAGAGATGGTGGGGCCTGGGCCCCTCC